CCCTCGCAGTGGTCTGCGCAGCTACACAGGATCGGAATTCCTCTCATCGGGCCTGACCCTGTCCTTCCCGCTCACGCCTTGCCTGGACTCAGGCCAAGCCCTGCTGTTCTGCAGCGGGGCCATGCCCGTTCCCTCTTTAGCCTCCAAGGCCACCTTCTTGGTGGCTCTTTTCCTGGTCTTCTCCTCCCAAAGCTCTCACCCCGCCCCTCTACTACCTGTTGCTCTTTTCCTCTATGCATCTTCATCTCCTCCCTCTGACTGGAAGCTCAGGGAGGGCAGGAAGTTGTTCTGTTATGCACTGCACTCTCCCAGGTTCCCAGAATAGGACTCGGTTGATGTTTTTTGAATAAATGTATCAGTGAATATAAATCTTTCCCTTTCTCTCACTCCTCATGTATTCCTGCCTCCTTCCTTCCCTTGCCCCCTCTCCCCTCCCACCGCAGGTCCACTCTTGTCCCTCACAGTGTCAGGGTCCCCCTGTGTGTCTCACTCAGTCCTCCAGGCTGTGTGGTGTAACGCCTCCAGGTAGCCTGGTACTTGCCTCTAACTCTTTTCTGGTTTCTCCTGAGTGCCAGAAGCAGGGAGTAGGCAAGTGAGGCTGCAAACCACAGTACCCAAAGGCAGAAGGGCAAGGGCCTTAAGAGATGGAGGGGTGTAAGGAGGGGAGATAGTCATCCTGCAGACATAGGGCTACTGCCAGCCCAGGATGGTCCTGCAGAAGGTCACCATCCAGGGACTGGCCTGGCCTCAAGAGTATCCCATGGGATCCACACGGCCAGCCTGGGGATGCATGTGGTCTTGGGGAAGGGGTGCTGCATGCCTGTGATGTGTGAGTGTGGTGTGTGTCTGTGTGTGCATGGGCTTGTGAGTGCATGTGCGCATACACACGTGTATAAGCCCACGCTTGTGTGAGAGCTTGCATTTGATATGACAGAGAATATTTGATGTCTGCGTGCCTGGAAATCTGACCCTGGAAATCTGGAAGCAGCTGAGTACACATGTGTCTGTGTTTAAGATCTGGCTTCAGGCCACCCACAGCCAAAGGACTCACTCCTGAAGGGCCAGAGCGGCTCACCCTCACTTCTACATGCTCTCTGTCTGTCCTCCATGGGTAAGAACCAGGCTTCACTGGGCTGCTAGGTAGAGGGCACATACCACACCCCTGTGCACTTTCCCCTTTCATTCTGGTGCCCGGAGGACTTGGAGGGCTCAGGCCCTCTGTTGCTGCAGAGCTCACCCCTCACGCTGCTCCTGTCCTCTCCATCCTCCTCCTCTTCCTCTGCCTCCTCTTCTTCCTCCTTCTTCCACCCCTCCTCCTTCTCCTTCTCCTCCTGTTCCTCCTCCTCCACTGTTTCTCCTGGGTCCCTCTGAATCTTTCCGCAGTCACAGCCTCAGCTCCATTCCCAGCCCCTTCCCTATCTCCTTTTTTATCCACAAACCATACCTTTTCTCCCCTTTGCTTTCTACCCAAGTCCTCACATCTCTTCTCCTCCTCTGATCCTTGTCAACAACACACTCTTAAAGCTGCTCTTCGAAGGTCCTCAGCCACCAGGCGCTGGCCAGACCTCAGGTGCTCCCTGCACCATCCTACGCCCTGTGGCTGTGCCCCTTCCTCTCTGGAAGGCCATCACCAGCTGGCTCCTCCTTTCCTCACCAGCCTTTCCTGGCCCTGGCAGGCTGTTTGGAACCCAGGAGCATGGTTGAGTCTCTCCCTTTTCTCTCTCCTTGGAATCTGAGTGGTGTCTGCCTCCCCAGTCCCTGCAGCTGCTCTTGCGCAGGGGGCTACGATTTTGTCTTCCTCTCCGCCTCTCTCCCAGTGTGTGCATCTGTGCTCCCACTCCCCTCTACCCTGATCCCCAGCCCCCTCTCCCAGCCTCCGCTCTTCCACCTTTGAGAAGCACGTCTGGACTCACTCCCATTGGTTTCATCCCCACTGCTTTTGTCTGTCCCTACAGTGACAGCCTCGGCTTGCTGGCTTTAGTGATTTCTCAAGATGGAAGAACAGACACACACAGGTGCACACACACACACACAAATACACATAGATTGTTGCACATAAACATGGTCACATTCATGCACCTAGATCTGCCTATGATTTAGGGTTGTCAGTCAAGTCAGGGTCCATAGCTCCTTTGTGGCCCCAGTTACACAGAGCACATGGCTTCAGAGTGCGCAGACAGCCACATGGGCAAGACCCGGTGACAGGCAGACACAGCCACAGCATAGCGAAATTGCAGATATGTAAGTCACAAAGACAGAGGCAGAGGCCTGGTCCTGGACACACACAACCATGGACAGATAGGCAGTGACATTCTTCCCAACGTGAGGCCCGGAGTTAAGAGTGGGAGGCAGAAGGACTCCTGTCCCTTCTGCTCTCTAGAAATGCCTGGAGAGCCACATGCTCATGGAGCAAGCTACCCTCAGCCACCCACCCCACGCACCTGTCCCTTCTAGATGCGCTTCCTGAGGGTCAGAGCCTTCTGCTGCTTTCCCTGGGTATTGTGGATCCAGGCCAACACTGCTGTGCTTGCCGCCCTGCCCATGGCATCCTGGGGGAACTAGGACAGATGCTGCAGTCTAGAAAGACATGGGGTAGGCATGGGGCTCAGAGACCTGCCCACATGTGCATCCTGAGGACAAAAATGCCACCCGTTCAGTCCAGAAAGCACAGGAAAGCTATCTGCTGCAAGCAATCGGAAGTTTGTTGTGGGCGATGCAGTATGCTGTTTCATTACTTGGGACACATTTACACATACGCTGTCGTAATGAACCGAGGTCTCTGTGGGCTCGTTGTAGAGCTGAATCCCCAGTCCCTTACATTTGCATGGGACTTCAGATCTTTTCAGAGCGCTCTCAGAGACATTTGCTCATCTGAGGCTCCCAGTTTTTTTTTACTGTAAATGAGATTCATATCTTGCACATATTTTACATATTTCCGATTCTTTTGCCATCCCCTAACAAACCACAGACCCTCCCTAGACGTTATGAGTCAGCTTTGTATAAAACAACTTGCTCTATTTCCATTGTTTTCTTATTTTCTGTTCTACTCTGACTTTGTCTATGCTGCTTTTTGGGTCGAATTGGGTAGGGTTTGTTTTGTATTGCTTTGTTTTGGTTGGTTAGGTTTTTTGTTGGTTGGTTGGTTTTATCTTTTCTGTTTCTTCTTTTCACTGATTTTACATATATAAATCTCAATTTTCTGGTTTTGTCTGCAAGTTGAGTCTATTGTCTTCTTAGAGACAAATAGTCTTTTATTTTGGCTCTTTTACTGAGATTTTGATATGCTTCTATACCCAATGTAGAAGAACAGTTTGTATAAAATAGAAAGTATCCAGCAGGTAGTCCATATTTCCCTATATATTTCATCCTATATATTCCCTCTGCCGACTGGGTAAATGGGGGCAACTCTTAAATAATCATGATGCCTCTGAATTTCCTGCTTTAGTTAAGGAGGGCTACAATTTTCTTGGTAGGCTTGGTACAGTATTAGAGTTGATATATTCCAAGTGCCAGCCACGTTAGCCAACACACGGTTAGCACAGTGTCATTACAGCAGTCTGTGGTGGAGACGGGGAAAGCAGCGGAGTTGGAGCGTGGCCTTCCCAGCCGCCTTACCCACAGATGACTCCTCTGTAGGGACCCGTGTTTAACCTTGTCTTTGCTTTTGGGCATTTAAAACTCTTCTTCCTTTTTGTCCTTTACAAATCATGACTCACTGAACATCTTTAATAATATGGTTATTATTCTTCTGAGTTTCTTATTTGCATATATTCATTTAGTGAGCTTACAGCAGGGATGTACACATTTGTAAGGCTCGTAATAAATAAATATCACCCGGCTGTTTTCTACAGTGGTGTTATTTGTGTATACTCCCAGCACAAGAGTGATTATTTTATAGAAGCATTCAGAGCCTTGGCTGGTTTTGTTTCCTGTTTGACTTGCCTTATGTACTCTTTTTTTCAAGCTATAATTACATGCACACTTTTATGGGCCCAGGGGCTAGTGGTGGTATTATTATTTACCCCACGATTTCAAAAGAAGCCTACTGTCTGAAGGTCAAGGTGCTTCCTTGCGATGATATGGAAGGTGATTTTCAATAGTGTGTGATATTATATGGTTTATATATGAAAATTATACTCTGATTTCAATTTTCCTTCAAGCTTCTGATCAGGTCAAGGAAAGTTCTCCTCTTGGTGTTAATGCCCCCTCCAGCCCTCCTTACTGCCCTTCCAAAACAAGAAGCTTTCGTTCTAACATGACAGTCTCTAGCTCAAATATAATAATATAATTTGGTCTCTATTATACTTATTTTTATGTTTCCTTTTTTTTACATAAATGTGATACAGATACTTTATTTAAAATGTTAAATCTTTTCTTTGTTGAATACTTTTATTTAATTGAACATGTGAGTTGCAGATAGGACAAAATCCCTGAAAGTGTGACCCTAATGATTACAGTTAAAAAATATATCCAGGGGAGTCCATTCCAAAACTTGCCCCCCTAATTACAGCACATGCCCCTGGGAAACCACTGACTGCACGTCTCCAGAAGGTCTGGCTTGGTTTAGAGCTCTGTGATTGCCCCTTGGTCCCCGTTCATTTGTGCGTCTAAGGGACTGTCCAGTCGTCCATGACAGGAGTCACTTTGACATCAAGCAAGTCCCTGGGTTACTGACCAGGTGAATAAATAATCTACTCCCACGGCAGATTAAGAACGGTACTATGTCAGCATGGGAGGATGTATAAATCAGGAGTGACACTGTGAATAGAATGATTCAGAAGTTGGGATTTAATAGCTTAATGAGAGTCATTGTGAGTCATGATATCAGCTTTAGTATGATTCTAACAACGTACTTGGTAACACTAATGAGATTTGATAAAATAAAATTGACAATGTCCAAACAGCTGTGTACTTTCACAACAAAGGAGCTGTCTTTCAGAGCAGACTAATACACACTGCCTTGGGAGATTTTAATCAGGTGATTTTGTTTCCTCTTTTAGGATATATTTAAATTTGCAAGAACTTCTCCTATCCCAAGACAAAAGAGGTCCATTGTGGTATCACCAATTCTAATTCCAGAGAATCAGAGACAACCCTTCCCAAGAGACGCTGGCAGGGTAAGTCCGGCACATGACAAGCAGCAAAGCATGTTTTTATTAAAGGACAAGTATATGCAAGGCAAGCTATCTGTCTTGGTGTCCAGCCAAGACTGGCTTTGATCCCTGTGTAAGAGGCCAAAATGATTTTGGCAAGAAAATAATTTCGAAAGATCATCCAAAAAAAAAAAGGAATGAGAAAGGAAAGTAAAAACACCTTGACTATCACGATTTGGAAATCTATTTGGTAGAAAGTGAAGCTGAACGGATCCAGCAGAAGGTTATGCGTTAGGAACTAAACTGTCTTTAAAGTTGGTGTCACACAGGATACATTAAGACAGCAGCATGTTGACAGGTGAGGTGTCTTTACTGAGGTCATAGTTTTCATATGTTGAGAACCAGGAACAGCACTCTGCCACCTTTCTAAAACCCAGACCAGATCAAGGTGACCGAGACATGTTATCTAGAAACATGGTTACACGAGTCAAAACATCTTTCCTAGGAAGTTATAAGTTGAATAGTCATTGTTAAATTGGCCTTAATACTGATGTTACCTTATGTCAGAAAACATTTCAACAAATTGAGCTTAATGAATGAGTTGGTCATTATTAGAGATTCTAGCTGCATCCTTTCTATGAAATGGAAAGCTGCTCTGTTGAGCTGGGCAGATGGGGTCGGTGCAAAATAAAGAAATGGCTAAATATGGAACAAGAAATGGACCAGTCATTTCAAAGTTACTTATTTTATAGAATTAAAGCAGAGAGAACTTCCTTGACCCACTGAGTCAGATAGATGGGGTCACTTATGATTGGTCACTAATAATCTCCTGCTGTTTGGAAAACTGGCCTGTTTTAAAGTGCACTTTAGTTGTGTGGCATTTGACATGAATGACTCCATCCTGGCTTGGTTTCGTCTGTTTCTGTCCATGACAATGACCTCCTGTGAAACACATTAATACTAAGTACCTCCTCTCCTCATGAGGAAGACAACATGAAAAATCAAATTTTCACCATTTTGCATCTTTCCTAAACTTGGAATTTGAATATTGATGACTAGTTAAACAAGTGATCTCAGTGGCTGCTGCTGTTGGCCTGTTGATTCACGGAGTAGGTAGAAATGCAGTGGGTACGTGTTGTGTGCCACACTCCAACCTTGGGGCTGGGTGAACATAGCTATGAACGCATAGACAATACAGCTTGTGTTCTAATGTTGCCATAAGTAAATAAATAAACAGGAGAATTACAGAGTATGACTAATACTGTGAAAAACAGAAACACGGTGGTATGAGAAAAGGTGCAAATGGCAGGACCGGGCAGTGAGAGAGGGAGGAGGGAACCCTCACACAGATGCCTGCTGGCTGGTCTGAACACGTGACATTTAAGGAGGATGAGACAGCGACCACCATGGGGTCATCTGGACGCACAGCACCCTGGCAGAGGAAGTGCAAGTCCAAAGGCCTGAAGATGAGGAAAATGGAGTGTATTTGGGGGGCCACTCTCTGTGAGCCCAACACAGTCAGCAAGAGGAAAGTATGGAAGCTGAAGTCAACCCAGAGATGTGGGGAAGAGCGGCTTTCAGCACAGCTGCAGCCAGAGATTTCCAGCAGCTATCCCCAGGGGAGAAATTCTTCTGGCTGGTAGAGTGATTCGGGGAACAGAGTGGAAGAGAGGAATGGGAGCGAAGAGACCCACTATGATATGGTTTTTGTGGTGGTCTGGATAAGAGGTGGGGGGGACTTGGGCTCTAAGAAGTCTACTTCCCTTGGAAATGAGAAGTAGCAACAGTCCATTATCCTGGAGATCACTAAATACTTCAAACTACTGCCATGCCAAATTCGATTTTCATTTACCAAAACCTATTTGGAGGTCCAGAATAAGACACAAAGGGAAGCAGAGCTGTTCAAATGGACAGAGCTGGACTGATGCACCTTGCTCCTATGGACAGCCCTATGCCCTGTGACCAGGTTTCTGTCTGGATTTTCCTGGAGCAAGCATTCCACTGGCCAAGGCACTGGAGTCCATACGGCTTTGAGGACCTATCCCCACATGTTTGTGGAGAATTGCATTTCAGACTCTAATATAATACCTGAGACAGGGAATCTTATAAAGAACAGAGGTTCATTTTGACTCAGTTCTAGAGGAAGGATGGTACAGAGACCATCTTGTTGGCGGTCACTGGTTGAGAGCTGTTCTTATTGTATAAACCCTCCCGCTTACCTAGCTTGGGCTGTGCTCTGGGCTCAGGTATACCACCCATCTAGTTTGAAGGGGAGCCTTTGGGCAAAGAGATGCCATGTAGCAGCTACAAGTGGTATGCACTGCAATGGTGTAGTCCAGGGCATGGGGTCAGGGGACTGATGGATCCTGCTCCATCCCTAAACATGTTATAAATAGCTTGCACTGCATTCTAGGTTTTTTTCTCTTTGTCTCATTCTCTGCTCCACCTCAGTTCCTGGACTGACTTTCTAATACTGTGCACCTTTGCAGCCCACTATACTTGCTTCTCTTCATGAATAAATACTTGCTCTGCTCCAGGAAGAAAAATCTCAGAAATTCAGCCCACTTCATGTTAACAATCATATGCTCAGTATCTGCTATTTATAAGGCACTGTGTGGGGAACTAGGAGCTTAGTGGTGAAGGAAACAGACAGGATCCTTGATCTTGTAGGATAACGGACAGGGAGATGCCAACATCTGTTCATTGTTTATCAGGCCCTTTGCTAAGCACTTGCCATTTATTGTATTGAATTCCCATAACAACAACTCCATGAGGATAGTCTTCCAACATCTACAGTAGGGCAACAGGATTCCGAGGGGCAATCTGTCCACAATCAGCCAGCTGATTAATAGCAGAGGAAGCATCCAGGCACCTCTGAGATTTCAGAGTCTCCTACCCTGTATGCACGGTGGCTGCACCACCCAATCTCCACGTGCAACCCACTCCTCCGTGGAATGAAATATCTTGCCGGCAATTTCTCTCTTTAAAGGAGCATTAAAATGGAGTATAATTCTTCAATGTGCACCAAAAGATAAGAGTCATGGGGTGTAGACTAGTGGATATATGTTGATATATGATAAAGTACACAAAAATGTTAATGGTAAAATTTCATTATGGGCACGGAGGTGCTTGCTGTAAAATTCCTCCAATTTTTCTTTAGATTTCTGAATTTCATAATAAAGTGATAGTGAAAAATTAAACTTAATCAAATTTAAGATTACCATATATGATATAGGAGTTGGCATGGTGGTACCAAAACCCTTTTCTTTTTTTGTGTGTGTTGCATTTCAAAAGGATGAATGGAGGCTATCTATTTTTGACTTTCTTTCCATTTTTTTTCTCTCTTCTTTTTGGTCATGTTTTATCACAACCTAAATTCCTTTAGCGAAAAGAATTCTGTATACGAAAAGATAAAGACATCAAAAGCCAGATACTGAGGTGAACAAACCCCTCTGGGTCCCTTCCGTGGTCTGTGGCATGTAGAACTGATATCCACAGGAAGCCGTGCAGGCAGCTCAAGGGATGAGATAAAGTCTTGGCTGATGCATAATTTATCTATCTGCCAAATAATTAGATGATAAGTAACTAGATTACTAGAATTCAGGGGTGATTTCTGGTCATCAGAGGGAGTCATACTACAACCCTGACATTCTCTTTCACTACTGTTTGCTTAACCAGCCAATTGGGAGTGCAGGAGAGGAATGACCCTACAAACTTCTGGGAAACAGCCCCAACACACCCAGCCCTAAGAAACCAAGTTTTCCTCCTGGTATTGCTCTTTCCCAAGATACCTTCTGTCCTAGAAAATCTCTTCATGAAGTGATTCTGAAGCAAGGCTAGAACATTCAGTCCTGAGCGCTCTTCCCCAGACCTGTGAGTTCCTTACTATTTCTGAATTCTGGACAGAACTGGGAAGCTGGAATTGTGCATACTGGAGAGATGTGTACTGTTCCTTACGTGCACTTTTCCTCTCCCCCATCAAAGTGTGACTATTTAAAAATTTGGGTCATACATAATTTATCAGCCTTAACAATGTCTGACGATAAATATTTGATTGCATCTTTCCAGATTTTTTGAGTTCTTGGGCCTGATTGATTGAGAACAGGGGACTTTAACTCTGTATGATGGCATGGAGGTCTTTGGGAGATGTATTTTATTCTGTTTTATATTAAATTTGAAAGACAAGTCATTTATGAAATGCTTATTAGAGATTCTACTTTCATCACAAACCCTTTTCATCAAAACCAATGAAAGTACATTTTACTGAAAATCCTTTTTTATGTGCCTATAAATTGGCACAATGGGCATTTAGAAGGACATCCTTAACCCAGGATGGAAGAAATATGTAATTGGACCATGTGCTCTTCATAAAGGGAATCAACATAGATCATTAGAACAAATCATGGAAATCACTCAACCGGGACTCTGCTTTGATTGTGTCATGAATGTGAGTCATATGTGAAGGTAATTTACAGCAGTTCCTCAGCAGCCACAGAGGTGTGGACCTGCGGTGTACTGAGAGGTTTCCCCACGTCCCCACACTCCATACCTCCCACTTACGCCTCCCTGGGCAATCGGGCAGCGGAGGGCTGATTGCCTTGGAACTGAATTTGCTTTGCTCACTTAATGTCGTTTGCATCTTTGAGAACCCATGCACTGGACACCAAGGTACATCCTTGGGAGCTGGACTAGAAGCTGAGACTGAATCCCCAGCACCACCCCTTCTCACCCTCCTGCTGAAAGGCAGATCCCTGGCGAGTCCTGCTCCATCCCGTGGCTCCCTGTCCCCTTTTACATCTCTGGCTCCACACCCTTTATCCAAGTCTACATGTTCTCTTCAAAAATGTTCATCAATTTCGTTTCCCCCATTTTAGGCAGCTAGCTGTTTTATTCAATAACTGAAACTTACCAAGACTTTAGAATATAGGAGGGAAACTAGAACACAGGTTACCCAAGAAGCCCAGAGCCTCAGTGCTCAGGATTCTTCTTGAAATGAACATCACACTTTATTTCTATATTCAGAT